TCACCTGAGGTCAGGAGTTCAAGACCAGCTTGGCCAACATAGAGAAACCCCCATCTCTACTGAAAATACAAAAATAAGCTGGGTGCAGTGGCAGGCGCCTGTAATCCCAGCTACTTGGGAAGCTGAGGCAGGAGAATTGCTTGAACCGAGGAGGTGGAGGTTGTGGTGAGCCAAGATCATGCCACTGCATTCCGGCCTGGGTGACAGATTGAGACTCCGTCTCAAAAAAAAAAAAAAGTAACTCCTTGTCTGTTTACCTTGTATCATGAGATTGCTGCAATTCAGTCACATCTATCTTGAGGCCCTACTTCTGATTTTAGTTATTTTGCTATTTCCACAATGGAGGAGTTACTTCCTCCACTGAAGTCTTGAACCCCTCAAAGCCATCCATGAAGGTTGGAATCAAGTTCTTTCAAACACCTGTTAATGTTAACATTTTGACCTCCCTCCATAAACCATGAATGTTCTTAATGGTATCTAGAATGATCAATTCTTTCCAGAAGGTGAATCTTTTGCCCAGATCCATCAGAGGAATCATTATCTATGGAAGCTGTAGCCTGAACTTAAAAAAAAAAAACAAATACAGAAATTAGCTGGCATGATGGTGTGCACCTGTAATCTCAGTTAAGAGGCTGAGGTGGTAGAATCGCTTGAACCCGGGAGGCAGAAATTGCAGTGAGCCTAGATAGTGCCACTGCACTCCAGCCTGGGCAACAGAGCGAGACTCTGTACCCACCGAAAAGAAAAAAAAAAGACATTCATGTGGCCAAGGTTAACACTCAAGTCAAGCTTGCTGGAGAGATCACAGATGTTTCACTGGCTCCTGATGAGGAAGATTTGGGTGTTGCTAATAAATTTAAGATAAACTGAGTCCAGCTGGTTAGTTCTAAATCTATATATCTATATGTGTGTGTGCATGTATATTTTCACCAGAAAAAAAATCATTGATCACAGTTCACCATAACAGATATAATAATAAATTTGAAATACTGGGAGAATTATTCAACTAAGACACAGAGACATGAAAGTGGGCACATGCTATTGGAAAAATAGTGCTGATAGACTTGTTTGAGGCAGGGTTGCCACAGACCTTCAATCTGCGATAAAGCAAGGTGTGCCTGTACCTATTTTAATTTTTTCTTTCCCTCCTTCCTTTCCTTCCTCCCTCCCTCCCTTCCTTCCTTCCTTCTTCCTTCCTTCCTTTTCTTTCTCTCTCTCTCTTTCTTTTTTCCCCCTCCCCTTCCCTCCCTTCCTCTCCCCTCCTCTCCTGCTCTCTTTCTTTCTTTCTTAATTCTAGAACTTTTGGCCAGGTACAGTGGCTCACTCCTATAAGCTCAGCATGTGGGGAGGCCAAGGTGAGCGGATCACATGAGGCCAGGAATTTGAGACCAGGAATTTGAGACCAGATTGGCCCACATGGCAAAATCCCATCTCTATTAAAAATACAAAAATTGTCTGGGCATGGTGGCTCACACCTGCAATCCTAGCACTTTGGGGGGCCAAGGGGGGTGAATCACCTAAGGTCAGGAGTTCAAGACCAGCCTGGCCAACAGGGCGAAACCCCATCTCTACTAAAAATACAAAAATTAGCTGGGCATGGTGCACACGCCTGTAATCCCAGCTACTCGGAAGGCTAAAGAAGGAGAATATCTTGAATCTGGGAGGTGAAGGTTGCAGTGAGCTGAGATCACACTACTGCACTCCAGCCTGCACAACTGGAGCAAGACTCCATCTGAAAACAAAACAAAACAAAAAAGTTAGCTGGGCATGGTGGCACATTCCTGTAGTCCCAGCTATTTGGGAGGCTGAGGCACAAGAATTACTTGAACCCAGGAGGCAGAGTTTGCAGTGAGCCAACATTGCACTACGCCACGCCAGCCTGGGTGACAGAGTGAGACTCTATCTCAAAAAAAAAAAAAAAAGAAAGAAAAAAAATTCCAGAACTTTTACATTTATAGTATATTTATTTTAAATATATTTGTATACATACTCATCTTAAGCAACAAATTCTTATCTCTATAGTTAGACAACTCTTATATTTGTGTTAAAAGTGATTAGCCAATTGAATTGCTTAATTAAGGAAATAGAAGGGTAAGGCGAATTCCCTTTGATGTTATAATTCCTCTGCTTAGGAAGTTTTTTTTTAAATCTGATGAATCAGTGGTAGAGCAGGAAAGGAAAAAAGGGAAGGAATAGAGTAATTCTCAGAACGCACAAACCTAGCTAGAGATTACAATGAAACTATGGTTGCTAGCTTTTGTGATTTTTATTTTTTATTTTAAAATTTTATTTAAGTATTATTTTTTGAGAGGTTCTCGCTGTATTGCCCAGGCTGGAGTGCAGTGGTGAAATCTCAGCTCCCTGCAATATCTGCCTCCCAGATTCAAGTGATTCTCATGCCTTAGCCTCCCGAGTAGCTGGGATTACAGATGTGTACCACCATGCCCAACTATTTTTTGTATTTTTAGTAGAGACGGGACTTCACCATATTGGCCACACTGGTCTTGACTTCCCAATCTCAGGTCATCTGCCTGCCTCAACCTCTCAAAGTGCTGGGGTTACATTGCACCTGGCCATTTAAAATTTTTTATTTATTTATTTTTGAAATAGAGTCTCAATCTGTGGTGAAATAGAGTCTCAATCAGTTCAGTGGTGTGATCATAGCTCACTGCAGCCTCAAACTCCAGCTCAAGTGATCCTCCCACTTAAGCCTCTCCCGTAGCTGGAACCATATGTTATGCGCCACCATGCCCAACTAATTTTTAAATTTTTTTGTAGATATGGGGAGTGGGTCTCACTATATTGCCCAGGCATCAGCCTCCCAAAGTGCTGGCATTATAGGACTGTGAGCTACCATGCCTGGCCAGTTTTTGTGATTTTTAAAAAGCGTTAATTTAAAATTTCTGCTTTGTTTTGTACAGTGGGCACTCATTCCACAGTCACAGTGATTTCTCGAAATACTAGCCTGCCCATGTTCCTACTCTTTACTCAATACCAAAAATAATCCAAGATTCTCAGCAGGGCTCTGTTGACTGGCCTCCGTTCCTCTCTCCATTTGCTGCCTCCAACTTATTTAAGTGCTTTCATAGTCCCAGGAAAGCAAGCTCTGTCTATGCATTTCCTCCTGTTGTTTTCTGGGCCTGGAATGCTAAGCTCATTTTTCTTTGCCTGGTTAATAATTATTTCCTTTTGAAAACTCTGACGTCATCTGTCAGAAAACCTCCCTGGTCCTTCATCTGTGTCCGGGCCCCTGGCCCTCAGCTCTGGGCATGTCTCTGCTTTGCTTTTTAAAATCCTCTCTTTTCCATTTAATATACCACATAATTTTTTTTTTTTTTGAGAGAGTCTCACTCTGTTGCCCAGGCTGGAGTGCAGTGGCATGATCTTGGCTCACTGCAACCTCTGATTCCCAGGTTCAAGCAATTCTCCTGCCTCAGCTCCCTGAGTAGCTGGGACAACAGGCACTCATCACCACGCCTGGCTAATTTTTGTATTTTAGTAGAAATGGGTTTCACCATCTTGTCCAGGCTGGTCTCGAACTCCTGACCTTGTGATCTGTCTGCCTCGGCCTCCCAAAGTGCTGAGATTACAGGTGTGAGCCACCACATCCAGCCAATTTTGTTATTTTGTTTTTATTTATTTTGAGACAGACTCTTGCTCTGTCCCCAAGCTGGAGTGTAGTGTTGCGATCTCAGCTCACTGAGAAAACCTCCATCTTCCGGGTTCAAGTGATTCTCCTGCTTCAGCCCCCTGAGTAGCTGGGATTACAGATGCCAACCACTGCACCTAATTTTTTGTATATTTAGTAGAGACGGAGTTTCACCATGTTGGCCAGGCTGGTCTCGAATTCCTGACCTCAGGTGATCTACCCACCTCAGTCTCCCAAAGTGCTGAGATTACTGGCGTGAATCATTGCCCCTGGACTAATTTTATTATTTTTATCTATCAATGTCCTGGTCCTGAGGGTACTATTGCTATTTCATCTTTGTAGCCTAGCCTGGCACCATGAAATGTTTATGTGGCCGAAAGAAACCTACCTTTGGTCACCAATGACCCAAAAACTTTGGCCACATATGTTGGGCTCAGACTCCCTAAACTACCAAAATCCTGTGCATATAAGCGCCTCCAGAACACAAATCCCTTTCACAGGGCTTGAAATGTATTAAGTCATCATTAATCATCTTAAGTCAAGGCTCCAAGTCTGGGCTACTCCAGAAACCTGAGGGGAGAAAGGGAATTTTGTTTGTTTCTTTGAGACAAGGTCCTGCTCTGTTACCCAGGCAGGAGTGAAGTGATGTGATCAAGGCTCACTGCAGCCTCCACCCTCAAGGCTCTACTTATCCTCCCAACTCAGCCTCTTGAGTAACTGGAACCCGCTGTTAATTTTTTTTTTTTTTTTTTTTTTTTAAAGTGGGGTTTCGCTATGTTACTCAGGCTGATCTCTAGTTCTTGGACCTAAGCGATCCTCCAGGGGCCTTCCAAAGTGATGGCATTCCAGGAGTGATGGCTTTTGGATGCCTCCCAATGTGATGGCATTCACGGTGTCCGGCCTTGGAAATCTTATTTCCAGCAAATACTCTGTAGCTGCGCTCTGCTGGAAAGCAGCACAATGGCCCTCCTGGCTCCGTGGGAGCGCAGTCCCACCCGCCTGCCCGGGACCCCATCCGCCTACCCCCACTCCACCCATTCCCACCGTCTGGGTTTTCGGGGTTCACCATCGAGGTGGGAGCCACATCTGCGCCCCGTGGCCTGGCGAACGTCACTGAACACTTCTGCCCGACCCCCGCAGCAGCGGCGAAGACTGGATGGCGTGGGTGTCACCACGCGGTGGCCACTCACTCCGCCGCGACAAGCTGGTGGCTGGACCTCAGAGGGGGCGCCCTCGGGGTGCGAGACCCGGCACTCTGGAAACTCCCTGGGAAGGAGAGGTTGCGAGACATAAATCCTTTTCTCTGGAGTTGCGCAAGAGCCAGCGCGGTCAGGCAGGGGTGGGAAGTCCCCGCCAGTGACCCCACCCCGCACCCCTGCGCCCAACCCGGCCCCAGCCGAGTGTCCAAACCAAAAGCGAAAGAAACCCGACCCCCGCGTCCCCTCCGGCGGCTCCAGCGTCGCGTCCCCGGGGAGGTCGCTGCGCGCCTCCGACCCGGCCCGGCAGCTTTGTGACTTCACTCGTTTCGCAACAAGCCCGGGCCGCCCGCGCCCCACCCACCCTGGCCCGGCAGCCTCGCCGCCCGCCGCCCGCCGCCCGCCGCCTCGCTCCGCTCTTCGCGCTTCTCCTCCCTCCCGCGCTGGGCCTGCCCCGCCCGTCGCGGAGCCTTCCTGTCCCGCCGCCCGTGACCGTCCGCGCCCGGCCGCCGCCTACAGGCAGCCCGGAGCAACCCGGCGCCCGGCCCCGCTGAGCGTAGCGCTCTCTCGGCGGCGGCGGCGGCGCGATGCTGTGCTTCCTCAGGGGAATGGCTTTCGTCCCCTTCCTCTTGGTGACCTGGTCGTCAGCCGCCTTCATCATCTCCTACGTGGTGGCCGTGCTCTCCGGGCACGTCAACCCCTTCCTCCCCTACATCAGGTGAGGGGCAGGGTGGGCGCCAGGGCTCCGGGAGCAGGCAGGCGCAGGCGCCACAGGGAGCGCTGCAGATGGGGAGGAAAGGCGTCCGGACCAGCTGGGGGCGTCCTGCGGTCAGGCCGAGGTGTGAGCAGGAGGAGAGGTGCTCCTGGCAGCCTGGGGTGTCTAGGGAGGCAGCGGGTGCGGCGCTGAGCACCTCTGCCTGTACCTGGAGCACGGAACAGGGTGGCACCAGGAGGGATTCGGGATAGACCGTAGAGCTTTCAGTCGGGGTGTGTATGGGACAGAATCTCAGCAGGACGTTCTTTGGCGATGTTGAAACAAGATTAGTGCTGACGGATGACATTTATTGGACAACAGGTAGATCCAGGTATATGCTAAACAGCACTGTTTTCGCTTCTGCATCCCCACAGCTCTTGAAGTGGTTGTTTAGGCTCATTTTTCCTGCAAGGGAACGGTGGTGTAAAGTTGATGAAATAAAATCAACGTGACACTGAGGTCACTCTAGTTAATGGTAGGAGCGGAATTCACACCCAGCCGTGTGGGAAAGCAGCACTGTGCCGCCTCCGGGTTCCTGGGTTAAATTCTCTGGAGCTGCACCAGACGCCTCTGGGCACTGTGACCCCAAAGCCCTCAACTTGTCAACAACTTGTGACATTTTTTGTGTTATTTTACCCATTCACTTTTCCCGTGCCTTGGCCTCTACCTTTCCATAGAGGCACTTCAATGCCAGGGACAATGGCCTGATCTTCCTCATGTGGGTTCCAGCTCAGTGCCTTTCTTATAGCGGCAGGATTCGTTACACGTTAGAACCATCCATCCTTATCTAAGTACTGTGACCCCTCTGGATCTGCATTGGTTGGTGAACAGATGATAAGGTTGGTGACACCCAAGTTTTGTTACTCCTATGATAGAAAATGTAGGGCGTCTTCTTCCCTGCAGCCATTCTGTCTGGTGAACAATGTTCTGTGGTTTTGTCGTTTTTTTTTTTTTTTTTTTTTTTTTTTTTTTTTGGTGGGGGGTGAGGGTGTATTTTTAATAAAGACAGAGTTTTATTATGTTGGTCAGGCTGGTCTCCAACTCCTGACATCAAATGATCCTCCTGCCTTGGCTTCCCAAACTGCTGGGATTACAAGTGTGAGCCACTGTTCCCAGCGGGACTAGCAATTAAAAGATGCAAGGAAGGGAGCAATAGGTAAGATACTGCACAGAAGCAAATTTTCAGTAATGGTGGTGGTTTTGCCTATGAAAGAAGATGTTCTGTGTATTGAGGAGACTTTCCCATCTGGCCTTTTGGGTTTTTTTTCCATTTTTTTATTATTTTAAAAAATTTTCAGTAGAGACAAGGTTTCACTGTATTGCTCAGGCTGGTCTTAATCTCCTGGGCTCAAGCAATCCTCCTGCTTTGGTGTCAAAGTGTTGGGATTACAGGTGTGAGCCGCTACGCCTAGCCCTCGCATCTGGTATTATGCTTGGAAGAAATGTGGGCTTGGTTTCTCATGACATATTTCAGGCCTAAGCGCCATCATCTTGCTTCAGAAGCAGAATAGATCCTTCTAGACTCGTGTAAAAGTAAAGAGCTGTTTACCTGCAGTGCTGCTTTTTTTTTTTTTTTTTTGAGACAGAGTTTCGCTCTTGTTACCCAGGCTGGAGTGCAATGGCGCAATCTCGGCTCACCGCAACCTCCGCCTCCTGGGTTCAGGCAATTCTCCTGCCTCAGCCTCCTGAGTAGCTGGGATTACAGGCACGTGCCACCATGCCCAGCTAATTTTTTGTAGTTTTAGTAGAGACGGGGTTTCACCATGTTGACCAGGATGGTCTCGATCTCTTGACCTCGTGATCCACCCGCCTCGGCCTCCCAAAGTGCTGGGATTACAGGCTTGAGCCACCGCGCCCGGCCTGCTTTTTTTTTTTTTTCCAGACAAAGTCTCACCCTGTTGCCCAGTCTGGAATGCAGTGGTGGGATCCAGCTCACTGCACCCTCAACCTCCTGGGCTCAGTTGATCCTCCTACCTCAGCCTCCTGAATAGCTGGAGATAGGCATACATCACCATGCCCAGCTAATTTTTATTTTATTTTTTTTGTATTTGTAGAGATGGCATCTTGCTGTGTCCTGAAATGCTGCTACTGTTTCTCCTCCTCCTCCTCCTCCTCCTCCTCCCTCTTCTTCTTCTTCTTTTCTTCCTGACAGAGTCTCGCTCTGTTGCCCAGGCTGGAGTGCAATGGTGTGATCTCAGCTCACTGCAACCTCCTCCTCCTGGGTTCAAGCAACTCTCCTACCTTAGTCTCCCAAGTAGCTAGGATTACAGGCATCCGCCACCACACCCAGTTAATTTTTTTTTTTTTTTTTTTTTGAGATAGAGTCTCATCCAGACTCGAGAGTAGTAGCACAATCTCAGCTCACTACAACCTCTGCCTTTTGGGTTCAAGCGATTCTCCCACCTCAGCCTCCTGAGTAGCTGGGATTACAGGCGCGTGCCACCACACCAGGCTAATTTTTGTATTTTTAGTAGGACAAAGTTTCACCATGTTGGTCAGGCTGGTCTCAAACTCCTGATCTCGTGATCCACCTGCCTCGACCTCCCAAAGTGCTGGGAGACAGGCGTGAGCCACTGCACCTGGCCTTTTTTGTGTTTTTGTATTTTTTTGGAGACAGATCTTGCTCTGCCGCCCAGGCTGGAGTTCAGTGGTGTGATCTCAGCTCACTGCAACCTCTGACTCCGGGGTTCATGTGATTCTTCTGCTTCAGACAGCAGGCATGTGCCACCATGCCTGGCTAATTTTTGTATTTTTAGTAGAGACAAAGTTTCACCATGTTGGCCAGGCTGGTCTCGAACTCCTGATCTCATGATCCGCCCTCCTCGACCTCTCAAAGTGCTAGGATTACAGGTGTGAGCCACCGTGCCCGGCCCCTTTTTTTGTTTTAGTAGAGATGGGATTTCACCGTGTTGGCCAGGCTGGTCTCAAACTCCTGACCTCAGATAATCCACCTGCCTTAGCCTCCCAAAGTGCTGGGATTACAAACATGAGCCACTACACCCAGCCCACATTTTTTTTTTTTTTTAGAGATGGAGTTTCACTCTTGTTGCCCAGGCTGGAGTGCAGTGGCACTATCTTGACCCACTTCAGCCTCCGCTTCCCAGGTTCAAGTGATTCGCCTGTCTCAGCCTCCTGAGTAGCTGGGATTACAGGCATGAGCCACCATGCCTGGCTAATTTTTTGTCTTTTTAGTAGAGACAGGGTTTCACCATGTTGGTCAGGCTGGTCTTGAACTCCTGACCTCAGGTGATCCACCCGCTTCAACCTCCCAAAGTGCTGGGATTACAGGTGTGAGCCACCGTGCCTGGCCACCTGCAGTGCTTCTTATTGAGAGAACGGTAGCCATGTTTGTCCTGGATCTGAAAGTTGAGGACAGATAATATGTGACATGCATTGGCCAGGCTGTCAAAGGCAGGTTTTGAATGTTCATGGAGGTGTCTGATGTAGTTGTGTTAACATCACCCCAAGGTGAAGTTGAAATGGGAGATATTCAGAAATGGGGAAATAAACTGACAAGGTGAACCATTTGTGAGATGCTCAAACCACAGTCACTACAAGGAAGGGGCTTAAAATTTAACAAGGAAGCTTCAGGAAAAGCAGAATGACAGGAGAAAAAGGCATGGAATTGCTCTCTTATTGCCGGGAGTTCTCAACCAACACACACAGACGCATATATTGATTGCTCCCTTGTGCCTGGGTCTTTTGGATTGTTTGCTCTCTGCTTACCTGAGCAGCTGGTGTACTGGATGGCCTCTGCCTCCTCCTAGAAAACAAGTCCTTGATGCAGCAGCAGGATGTGGATAAGAACCACACAGAGAGAAGAAGGCTGGGCGTGGTTTTTACTAAAAACACAAAAAATTAGCTGGGCATGGTGGTGCATGCCTGTGATCCCAACTACTTGGGAGGCTGAGGCATGAGAATCACTTGAACCTGGGAGGCAGAGGTTGTAGTGAACTGACATTGTGCCACTGCACTCCAGCCTAGGTGACTGAGTGAGACTCTTTCTCAACAAAATAAAAGAACCAAACAGAGAGAAGTGATGGAAGTAACTGTATTCACCCACTGGCCCTGAAATATTCAACCTTTTCTGTTTTTTTTTTTTTTTTTTTTTTTTTTTCTGAGATGGGATCTTGCTATGTTGTCCAGGCTGGTCTTGAACTCCAGAACTCAAGCAATCCCCTCACCTCAGCCTCCTGAGTACTTGGGATTAAAAGTGTGCACCCGCATGCCAGGCTGGCCTTATCTCTTAGCTCATCACCTCCTCCTCTCCTCTACCCCTTTTCTTTGTTCTTCCCTTCAGCCACAGTGGCCTTCCTGTGCCTTAAACACATCAAGCACCCCTCCTTCTCAAGACCTTTGCAGTGGCTGTTCCCTCTCCCAGGTGTTCTTCCTGCTGCTATTTTTCACTTACCTGCTTTGTTCAAATGTTACCATCCTGCAGACTTTTTCACTTACCTCCTTTGTTTAAATGTTATTACCGTGATGAGACCTGCCCTGATCACTCTTTATTTTTTATTTATTTATTTTTATTTTTTGAGACAGAGTCTCCCACTGTTGCCCAGGCTAGAGTGCAGTGGCGTGATCTTGGCTCACTGCAACCTCCGCCTTTTGGGTTCAAGTGATTCTCCTGCCTCAGCCTCCCAAGTAGCTGGGATTGCAGGCACCCACCACCACACCCGATTCCTTTTTTGTATTTTTAGTAGAGGTGGGGTTTCACTATGTTGGCCAGGCTGGTCTTAAACTTGTAACCTTGTGGTCTGCCCGCCTCAGCCTCCCAAACTGCTGGGATTCCAGGTGTGAGCCACCATGCCCAGCCTATTTTTTATTAAAAAAATTTTTTTTTGAGATGGAGTGTCACTCTTGTTCCCTGGGCCGGGTGCAATGGTGTGATTTCGGCTCACCACAACCTCTGCCCTCTGGGTTCAAGCAATTCTCCTGCCTCAGCCTCCCGAGTACCTGAGATT